AGTTGGTTTTAAGAATTTCTTTATGCATGTGATGCAAAACAATTGCTAGTTTATCATGAGTGCTGACATAGATGCAATTAGTGCAGGAAAAATAGTAAAATTAGTATAGTTAGTGTCTCTAAAACATGAAAAAATAATAGTGTGAGCAGTGTAAATTCATTTGAAGTACTGAAATATGACATAGACTAAATATCAGAAAATGTAAGAAATATTTTGGTATGTGTGGATGAAACACTGAACGTGGTTGTAAAGTTAGAAATGAAAATTATCAACACACTTAAAGGTAATCGGGATTTAAAACTAAACATGGTGTTAGAAACTTTGAAGACCATAAAACTATATGAGAAAGAAATACATTTAGATATAAATGGTATTAAACTGTAAAGTTGTGAATGGAAATTTCTGAGTAAAAACCTGTAGATGATCTATTATGATCGGAGGAATAAAACAAGTATTATAAAATTGTAAGGAAATATTTGAATATGGAGTAAATGGAAAACAATCCATATCGTTAAAATGAATAAAAAGGGATAAAATGTTGGAATTACGAGTGATGAGACAGAAATAAAAACATTATAATAAATAAGTTATAAGCTAGAATTAAAAAATATAAACTACAGAAGGGAAATCATGAACGTAAGAAAAGCAATTAACAGTTATAGACTTAAGTTTTTTAAAAAAATATTCGGTAATGTAAGGAAGATGTTGTTAAACACGTGAAAGAAATTAGAAATTCTGTAGAAAATTTAGTAAAAGAACTAAGATCATGAAAAATAAACGTTTCTTTTTAAATAAAATATCATACCACTAAGTTAAAGTGTGTATAGAATACTAGAATGGTTTAGAAAAAGTAAATGAAGTTAAAATTCAGAATATATTGAACATTATAACGTTAAAAAAAAAAGTGTGAAATTGCATCTAAAATTAAGTAATGTAACAAATAAACAGCACGTGCGGGAACGTTTGCGAAATATAACGTATAAGTTAAAAATCAGGTATTCTGAAATTTATGAAAGGTATGAAAAAAATAGTATGTGGAAATTAAATAAAATATTACAAATAAATTAGAAACGTTAAGTATTAAAAAAATATGACAGTAAATGAATATGTTATTATGAAACAGAAAACCTGAGAAATAAGTTAAAGTTTCATGAAAAACTAGAAAGGATAAAAGTATCAGAATAAATTGATGAGTCGATTCAAATTCCATTTTCTTAAATAGGCTTTTTTACCTGAATCTGAAATGTATCACATCAGCTTAGTGGTTAAAATCTTCAAACTACTGAGCTGGTGAGATATTTTTTGTTTGAGAGTTCAATTCTATATTTTGAATAAGAGAATATTTTTTTTTTTAAAAAAAAGAAATTTCTAAAATAAATTATTTTCTTTTTTCGTCCGTAGAGGTCGCCATGAGCAATTCCTAAACAGATACTATTTTCATTTTTCATCCCTAGAGGACGCCATGACCCCGTTGCCAATTAAAAAAAACTAACTTTAAATGAAAAGCAGGAGGTCTACAACTCAATCAGCAATCTACCAACGCCTCAACTCCACTCGTGACCACGCCTCCTAGTGTGATGACGTTGCCTTTGGTCCCGCCCTCTGTGTGACGTCATTGACCATGCCCACACCCCACACCGCGTGTGGGTGAACCCGCATTTTCTATCTACTCACATTCTACACAGTACTATTCAAACAGCATATGACTTACTTCCACTGGATCTTGAAAATATTAATGCAAAAATTTATTCGTATTTATATATATATACACTGTGCATGTTGAAAGTTTGAAGGAATTTTGTGAAAGCGCAGAAATCGAATATAAAAGAATTATTGGCTAGAGCAAAAGACCATGGCTAGCTCTTTTACCAGCTGTAGAAAATATTTTAAAAATATACGAACTATTAAAATCATACTTTTTATCACAAGATAAGTATCCAAGAATATTGCAGTTGTTTATTGAAAATGACACATCACAAATTTGGCATCAGTTCATCCGCAACCAAGCTACATTATTTCACAATGCTGTGAAAATTATTGAAGGGGACAAAATTTCAATTACGGAAGTCTCAAATGAAATCAATAATTTTAAAACAAAATTGCGAGAAAAAATTGATAACGATTACGTTTCTTTAGTTATTCGAAAGGACATCACTAGGTTGAAGAACAAGGTGTCATTAAACAACCTGATTTTCTGAAGGAAGTCAGAAATTTTTATTATAACTGCTTGGAATATCTTGAAGAACAGACAGTTCAATTCGAGGATATTAAAAATTTTCATTGGGTGACATTAAAAAAAGGAGATTTTATGGGAATACGTGGAAAAATCTTTTTAGTATATTAGTAACCATTTCCCGAAAAATAATATTTGCGAAAGTGATCTTTTTGATGAGGTGTCATTTCACAAAATATACGTTACTAAAGAAAAAAATAAATGTTCGTTGCCTGCAAATGTGGAAACAGACAAAAAATGGCCGGAGTTATTCCTTCATTTTAAACAGATTCATTTATTCCTTATGAAAATATTTTGAAAATTGTAGAACATGCGCTCTCCCTTCCAGGAACAAATGCAGTTTTTTCTAGTATCAATAAAATATGGACAATTAAAAAAACGCAGTTGAGCATTAAAACTTTAAAATATATATTAAGCGTAAAATATAATTTGACCAATTCACGTGAGAAATTTCACGACATTTTAATAAATGATCCGAATCTATTGCAAAGTATTCACTCGGATAAAAAATGTGACCGTGAAAGAAAACTATAATTGTTTTAAATAAAATTTTAAATTAATTAAAAAACATAATATTCAAATTATAGTTTTTAACAAATATTTTAATGGCTACCAATAGTTAATAATAAATATATTTTTGTATATTTATTAGATAAGTAAATGAATGTATACGATAAAATACATTTTTTTGAGTTATTGGTCTGCTTTCATAACTAAATTACAATTCTCATTTCATTCCATTTGTCCCGCTTTGTCTCGATGAAAATGTGATCACTTTAATCTAGTACCTGTTTTCTACAGTAGAAAATGCGCACAAGTTTACAGGCAAATTTTTCTAGAATGTTTTCTTCATCTAGCATGATAGAAGAAAAAATTCATTCTAAGCCATGACCATAAAGCATATTCTTGTTGCACTTAAAAAAGTCTTTCAATCATTGTAATAAATAAAATAAAAATAATACTGTTTTCAGTTGGGGATCGAATTATTTATAAATGGTTTTGAACTTTTTTATAACTTGATCCTCAAATTTCAGCTGTAAAAATATTTGCTCAATTGTGTCTGCTTATACATGGAAATATATGCGGTATATGCTTTTAGGCCTAGAAATGCTTATTTCGTGAACCGAAACAAAGTATATGCATATCTTCTGATCATCAGTATCATAAAGATTATAAGAAAATAATAAAAATAAAAAATATAGGCATATACTGGAACAGTTCTAACGAATTTCATTAAACTATTATTGCTCGAACTGTTCCAATATATGTCTATTGACTTCACAGACTATGACTTTTTGAACCTCAACTGATTAACAAACACGACGAACTATTAACACCTGAGCTATTCGATTATACTTTCATTGACTTTATAACATATGAATCATTGACTGTTACAACATGAAATATTGATAACACGCAGAATATAGTATTATAGTATATGATTATTGATTATATATGAACTTTATAAGAAACTCTTTATAAGCTATTGACAGTAACTGATAATCTGAATATGAACAGTAACAATTTAAAATTCTTCATCAGACTATTGAAACTTACAAATGACTATTATCTACTAAAATTACCACTGTTATGACCTTTAACTATGAACTGATTACTAACTACTAATTGCCATAGGCTTTGATCATTCTCTTAATGCTAATCCTGTTAAAATTTATAATACTCTTATATTCTTGGGTATATTACTAAGCAAAACTGTGACTTTGCAAAAGAGATGCCAGTCTTGGCTTGCCAACCCCGGCACTTGGTCTGGGATTGCTAGGTAGTGGATTACCACAGAATGGCAACCTTGGCTGAAAGTGGAAATAGGTCAGCTGCCATTCTTGCTAAAAACCAAGTCTTCTCGATCATCATGAGCTTTCCTAAAATACCCAAAGTTTCGTCTAGCAATCTTAAGGGCTGTTCCCACTGGGGTTTATCTGACCTAACGGAGATAACTAACGTAGCGGACCCATCTCCAAAAGCAGTTTTTTCCCATAGGGCAGCAAGTTGAAAAATCTGAACTGCAGGCATAACGGACCTAGTCGCATAGGAACTGACTCTGTTAGCTCTGATAAATCCGAGTGGGAACGGCCCTTAACAAAGCCGGTCAACATTCAAAAGATCAGTTATATCATTTAAGCTACGATGCTGCGTTTGATGTTTACATGATATACAAATATTTTAGCTTAGAGTAGATTCTAAAAGGGCCGTTCCGACTGGGGTTTATCTGAGCTAACGGGAACAACTAACGTAGCTGACCATCTCCCAAACCAGTTTTTTTCCCATAGGGTAGCAAGCTGAAAAATCTGAACTGCAGGCATAGCGGAGCTAGTCGACACATGGAACTGACTCTGTTAGCTCTGATTAAACCCCAGTGGGAACGGCCCGTAATACTTATATTGGCAGGACCGGCGCTAGGCATTTTGCCGCTCGGTGCATTCTTGGCGGGTGCTAAATTATGTTGCCCGGCACCTCCCTAAATTCTAAATATTTTGCCGCCCTTAATTCTGTTGTCCAGTTCTTTCCCTAAATTCTGAAAAATTTGCCATCCCTAAATTGTGCTGCTCGTTGTTTCTCTAAAATCTAAAAATTTTGCCATCCCTAAATTCTGACAGCCGATGTGACCATACCGATTGCACCGGCTCTGGCGCCGTTCCTGCATATTAGTGAGAAGTAGTGCTTTAATAAAATTTATGGAATACTAATAAAATTAATAGAATATACGTAATATATTTTTTCTCATAATGTAATACATAAACTTTTATACCTCAATAAATTCTGGATCCTTGATATCTCCTTCAAAATGACCGGAATTTGGTAAGGGGTCTGATCCAGGTAAGGGTGCAAAATCTTCATCTGAAAAATTTTAAATACTAAGAATCGAGCAAAAGTCACCTTTAATAGTTACCTAACATTCGAAAAACAATATGAATAATGATGTTACAGATTTTAACCTCAATCTACAGATTTTTATTATCATTTTATACAAACCTAGGATTGAAAAACCAGGATCATTCTGTTCGAAGGAAAAGTTATATGAGGTATTTTTCCCGCCTTCTTCCCTACGTGGCTACATGGCTTCTTGCCTACGTTGCATGTCTACGTGGTGTAGCGGTCAGCACGCTCGGCGCGCATTCGAGAGGTCCGTGGTTCAAGTCCCGGCGAGGGCACTGCTCATTTTTCTTCTCTCCTGCTTTCAAAAAATACCTAACGTCTCTACAAGGTTACTGTTATTTACTGAGCTATCTGAAGCCGAGAGTAAGTTTCGCGTAATTTCTGTCTCATTGTAATTGGATCTTAACGCTATTATCTGAAAGATGCTATCAGTTCCATCTATATTGGATATGCCCTTTACAGCTCAACTGTAACTACTAATGATCCTTGGAAGCTTCAGAAAGGGCATGCATGCTCCGTTTGCTCTGCATTTAGCTTTTTGTTAAACTAGCCGCTTGCTCAATCAGCCGTTTAACATAATTCTGATTTATTTTTTTAAAGTTATCTAACGTTTTAATGAATCCAGCTAATGTAATTTCATGATCCAGTATAGTAATTAATAATAACGGAAAGGAATCTGCGTTTATTGAACTTAAATCGCTTAGTTTGCTAATTAACGACGGAATAAATTTAAAAGAAAAATTAAATATCGTATGCTTTAGTGAACGGCAACACGCCGCCGCTTGGAAAGTAAAAATACTTTAATTCGGGCAACGCTAACACATTTCTTTTGAATCGCTGAGTTTTTCAATTAAATTTGAAATATAAATATCTTGTTGAAGTGGCACCAAAGTTTATAAATTGCTGAGGTTTTAACCAAAAGTTCCTTAAATTCGGCCAAAATATGAAATAAATGAAAAAATTCGAAATTCGGGCTTCGAAGTGCACATGTCTGAGTAGAAAATTATATGTATTCAAAATTTGATGGCACTGGGCGCAGCCATTTTTCCACAATGCGATAACATTCGAAGAACTACATTACCTTCTGTCCAGTGGGCACGCTCTTCTTACATGTCGCGGAGTTTTGCTGATTAAATACGAAACATAAACATCTTACCCTTTACGGAGTGACAACACAGTTTTAAAATCGCTGAATTTTTAATCAGAAGTTCATTAAATTCGCAAAAAATATGAATTCAATAAAAAAAATTTCAATATTGAAAATCTGGGCTTCAGTGTGCATAAATGTTCGTGTGGAGGATTACGTGTGTTCAAAATTGGGTTGCTCTGGGTGTCGCCGTTTTTTCCATAGTGCAAAAAATATATATACATACATATATATATATGTGTGTGTGTGTGTGTAAGATAAAAAATAGGAAACTCAAAATTACTAATTTTAGTTTGCCTCTACGTTTCCTTCCTGGAATATATTGCGTCACTTGAAAACTAACCCGCATTATGTCATTTGCAGTGCCGTGAGCTATTGTCCAACCATCGCTTAAAACTTTAAAAAAGGATTTCAAATCTATAAATACGCTTTGCTGAAATTCACAGTCAATTTTCTACTCGCTCTTGTCCTGCTAGCGTGTCTCATTGCTTCGCTGTATCATCTATTGTCTTGAAATGTAATAAGTTGTGTATAAAATTGAGGGGTGCATGTCGCAACCGTAGTAATGTGAAAAGGAGAGATGGACATCACATCTTAGCAAGAACAGAGGCGAACCGAAAAGAGAAGAAAATAAGAGCGCATTCAGGTAATTAGTTAAAAGGTTCTTTAATCTGATTGGTGAAAAAATATGTTCAATGTTACGCTGACATAAGATGACAAAATGCAGATTAATTTAGAAAGACGTAGTCTAGAAAAATTAATATAAACAGATTAATTTGGAAAGACGTAGTCTAGAAAAAATAACATAAACAATTTATGCATTGAGAACAAAGAAGAGGAGGTACACAAATTAAAATGAAGAACTACGAGGCTATTGTTAATTTAAGCTATAATTTTGAATTCCATTTCTTCAGCATCCATATCATTTGGAGATTTAAGTGTTAAATTAGAAGCTGCTGCCTTTAAATTACTTAAATTTAATGAAATAAATTGTTCACCAGTTAGGAACTGAAAATCGGAAGATATATTATTTAATTTTTCGTACCGCCGTTTCAAATATACGTTCTTTAATTTTTAGCACTTTTTAAATTTTCATTATAAAATATGTATTTTTCTGAAAAACTATACTTCGTTTCAATTCATTCTTCGCAATTTAACTTATCCTTTCCTTTTCGTTTCTATTCACATCATCTGTTCATCATCGCCTAAGTTTTTCATTTTTCAAGAAAGCGTTAAGAAATATTTTCTCTTATTTCGTGTATTGAAAGACATAATCCTTCTATTAAGCGCGCGGCTGTATAGACAATATAATTATTCACTGCAAGGTTTTATTTGCTTTTTCGATTTCTTAAAGTATTATATTCCACGCAGAGACGCAGATAACAAACATAAAAAGTTAAAACTGATTTGTTTCAAAGTGACATTTTTTTCTGACCACAGCAAAGATTTGTCATTGAATGCCATTTTAATAATCGACGTACTTCAAATTCAAACTGTGATCCGAACAAGGAATGTATGTAACTTCAATCATTATTTTGACAAATAATGGCTTGCGCACCTTTGTACAATCGAGCCATATTGGCCTCATTATCATATCCTTGATCCCCAACATTTTGTATGTCTAGGCCATCCTTTTCTAACTTTACAGATAACTTCGTTTGCTGAACCGCTATCAGTTTTCTCTTTTGTTTCTATAAAATTTATAAAGCTTTCTTCAATAATTATGAATTCGTCTTTTACCTATACATATCTAATAATCTAAACTATTCATGATTCGATGCATCTGGTGTGCAAGAAAATATAAAGAAAAATATTTTGCTTTTTTTTTTTTTTTTTTACTTATTGAATTTGAATGTCTAGCAATTGTAAAGCACAGCTTTAATGAACTTCATTTTTCAAATTTTTCTTCTTTTATATTCAGCAGCACTGGATTTTTTTATGCCTTCTTGCATGAATTTTTATTAATAAATTATTTGAATTATATTTTTGTCATAACAAAATTTTAAAAAATATTGTTGAATGAAATTTATATATTTATTCCGAGGGCTTGGGCTAATGTTACTGTCAAACAAGTGAGCATAAGTAACAACAACAATTTGTTAATTTAACTTTATTTAAATAAAAATATATTTCTGATTGCAAAAATTCTTCTTAGGAACTACTCAGTGATAAATTATATACTCTTAGTACTTCCGTTAAGCTGTTAAGTCTTTCCGTTAAGTTATGTATGCAAGCTGTGTTGTTATTGTTGTCTTGTCCATGAATTTCATGGAAAAATGGTTGTCAGAGACTCAAGGACGTTGGACTTTTATTTCCATCCCAATTTGGAGGGAAAGCACCCGGAAGGGCCGAGGGTCTCCCACCCCTTTTCCCTTCCTCCAAACCACACGAGAGGACTTTCGGCTCGCCATACATTTAGAGTGCATATATATATATATATATATATATATATATTATTTACTAAAAGAATATTGATTATATTATCTACTAAGATTAATTTTAGTAGAATTATCTTAAAAGAGTGAATCCATACTTAGTAAGTTCAATTTCGAAAAATGTTTTAAAGTAACTTGAATGTAAATTGTTAAAAATGTTTAACGGGGATTTGAATTAAATCATGAATAACAAATTTCAATTGTAAAAAGAAATAAATTAAAAAGCAAGTAATTAAATTAAATGCAAGTAATCATTGCCATTGATCGGAAATTAGTTGACTTTTCAAGAGGGAACAAGACCAAAATTCCTGTTCAATCAACAATAATTAAGAAATAAAAACGAAGGGTGTTTCGTTCCTTTACTCGAGCAATAAGGCGATGCGAAACCGGCAATTCAAGCTAAGCCAAACATTTCCGTGAATAGAAAGGGATTAAAGAACCAATGCAGAGAGCCAAATAACTCATTTCGATAAAAGCATTTTAGCTAATTCAATTTTGAGTGAAAAGCAATTTCTGCAGTAAAATTGATATCGCTCGAGTAATTGTCCCACGGCACCCTCGTGTTTATGCATTTTAGTTCAAAACTATGTGTAAAAATTAAACATTGGAAATTGGCATTATGAAACAGAATTCAAAGTAATTTAAATAAACATTAGAAAATTACAAAATATAAGAAAAATAATGCAATCTTTGCAAAAACAAATCAAAAAATAAAAATTTTTGAATATATAATAAGAAAAGGGAATGTACATGAAGATATAAAGGCCAGAAAAAGCATTAATTAACTTACGTTCTTTCTAGTAGGGAGTGGGCAAAGTGTTGTTTTCTTCGCGTCTGACTTAGAAGGGTTGTGTTTCCGAAATTCTTTATCGGCAGCGGGGGCTTTGAATTATATCAGTCGGTAAGACTTGTGTGAAGTAATTTATGTAGTGGGAGGGACTAGGAATTCTTGAGCGACGTATGTTTGTGGAGCTCTTATTTTGAGTGAAAACGTCTGTTAAAATCTTTTGAATATACTAACTAGTGAATGGAAATTGATTCATTTCTGGCTAAATGTCGTGTCAGTAACGAGGTAGAAAAAATTAAAGAAAGGAAAAAAGCAATTTTCACTGTCCAACGAGCTATTTGAAAGACTTATAGAGTTACGAAATAGGCTCCATTTTTTTAGTAACAAGCATAAGAAAAGTCTGAAAACAATTAGCTTTTACATTATATGCACCATTTTGTAATTCACTATGTACAAATCCTTCCAACTGATAGTCATCCAACGTATACCGCCTTCTCAGGTTTAGGAACAAATTCTCATATCCCTATCAGTTAAATCAGTGCTCCGCAACCGGTGTGCCATGAGTAGGATATAGGTGTGCCGCAATCAAATACATGTA